TGAGGTGAGTGGATTGTCTGAGCCCGTGGGTTCAAGACCCACCTGGGCAACTTGGTGAGACCTCATCTCTACAATAAATCAAAAAACTAGCCGGGCATTGTAGCGTGTGCCTGTAGTTCCAGCTACTTGGAAGGTTGAGGCGGAAGGATCGCTGGAGCCCAGCAGGTGGAGGCTGCGGTGGCCGGGAGCGGCCACTGCACTCCAGTCTGGGCAACAGAGAGAGACTCCGACTCAAAAAAAAAAAAAAAAAAAAAAAAATATGGGCTTCACCCTGGGGAAACAACAGTTTGTACTTTTGTTCTAGCAGAAAGCAAGAAATGCATGTCTACTAGCTAAGGAAAAGCATGAAGAAGTCCACTCAAACACTCAGTGTTCAACTGAGCAACTAGACCCACCAGACATGTAAGGCCCTGTGACCCAGCTCCTAACTAGAAATTAAATCTGTGTGGGCCAATAACAACTTAATACAATTGGAAAGCTTAAACGTATAAATGGAGCAAAACAAAAATGAGTAAGAGATGCTAGAGTAAAACTGTAACTCTTCATATAAGAAACTGGTGATTTGTTACTCTTCTTGCCTAGTTTTTGATTAGCTTGGAACCTGAGAAAATAAATGTTTCTAAAAACTAGTAGCATCTGAGGAAGCTTTCTCCATCCTTCTTAGCTGGCTTTGTTGGAAACCTGTGGGGGCACAGAGTAAAATTAAGATCTCAAAGGGACCTGTTCCAAATAGAATTTGTCATAGACATTGCTACAGGTTCTTACTGGGAGATGGAGGAGGCGGCGGTAGATCTAAAAATGAACTCGACCTTATTTGTGCCCGAACAAAGCATTAGTGGGGGTGGGGTGGGGGGGAATGCTTAAAAAAAAAAAAACCTGCTAGAATGACAGATAACTTGAGAGAACTTCCTTAGTAGGGGAAAAAACTTTATAATAACTAAAGAATGATGGCCAAATTACTTTGGCTATGTTCAGGTTAGACACTTTTTGATGCCTGACATTTTATAATTTTAGCAGCGATCAAACCAAACACTTCATTGAATATAAAGTCTTCTCAAAAGGAAGTTAGTAGTCTTCGTTTTCAAATGCACACTTATTTAGGAATCCCCTCTCATGGCTGTCAATGAAATGCTGGGGGGACTCACATCACACACAGGGATTTTGTGAGTCTCAGAAGCCATAACACACCTCACAGAACAAATGACAAATATATGATTGGCACTTCAGGTTCCAGTTAATAGAAAGCATTGAAGATGGACTGACTAGTCAGGAAATACATGTGTTTAGAATTGCACAACGTTACACTGCCAAATAAAGGAGGGCAACGGACATCTACTATCCTATCTAAGCTCTGAAGATGGAACCCATTCAGGTCTAGTTTCAGATATGGCCTAAAACAGATCTGGTTGCCAAGTTTGAAATATCTGAGAATCCAGCCTTGGAAAACTTCATGTTATGAATTACATGTATGTAAAGCACTTGGTATGTGCCCATTATACAGTATATGTTTAATGAAGGCTGGACATAATTTTTATTACTTTTATCAAAGCACTTTATACATAGGAGGTATTCAAAATATAGGGAAGGATACAAATAAGACAAGGGTTAAGTAATTATTAAAGGCTACATATTAAACCAGAGATCTATTTTTAAAAGTTTTGGCTGGGCATAGTGGCTCACACCTATAATCCTAGTGCTTTGGGAGGCTGAAGTAGGAGGATTGCTTGAGGCCAGGAGTTCAAGACTACCCTGAGCAACAAGTGAGACTCTGTCTCTACAAAAAAGTTTGTTTTTTTAATTTTCTGGGCATAGTGGTATGCACTTACATTCCTAGCTACTTAGGAGGCTGAGGCAAGAGGATCACTTGATCCCAGGAGTTCAAGGTTACAGTGAGCTCTGAGTGCACCCCTGCACTCCAGCCTGCATGACAGAGCGAGACCACATCTCTAAAAATTAAGTTACTTCAAACTTCCAGTTTAATAATATTTACCATACTTAATATATGTTCCTCTTTCAGGTCTCAGCTAATGTTATTTTTAACATGTTCATCCTTCAGGTCTCTAGGTAATGTTAAAATGGTATCTCTTCAGAGAGACTTCCCTGTCCATCTTATTAAGAATAGCTTCCCGGTTGGGCGCGGTGGCTTAGCCTGTAATCCCAGCACTTTGGGAGGCTGAGGCAAGTGGATTGCCTGAACCTGCGGGTTCGAGACCCGCCCAGGCAACTTGGCGAGACCTCGTCTCTACAATAAATAAAAAACTAGCTGGGCGTGGTAACGGGTGCCTGTAGTTCTGGCTACATGAAAGGCTGAGGCAGAAGGATCGCCGGAGCCCAGCAGGTCGAGGCTGCAGAGGCCGGGAGCGTGCATGCCGCTGTACTCCAGTCTGGGCAACAGAGTGAGACTCCAACTCAAAAAAAAAAAAAAAAAAAAAAAAAGAATAGCTTCCCTTTGTTGGCATAGCATATTGTTTATTTTCTACATTGCTTTTATAATAACTTGTAATCATTTTATTGGTATTTGCTTACTCATTTGTTTCTCTCCTCCCTAGTTCCCCATACTGTAAGCTTCCTGAAGGCAGAAACCATGTTTATTAACGTCTTATATATTTCCTTTAGATTTAACTTACATCCCCGGTGTAAGAGTTATACCCATTTCTTTTGGCTCTGTCTTGAGTGGAGTTGTAAAATAATCTGGTCACCAACTGCTATACAGTATAAGAGTTTTTCTGATGTGCAAACTAACTTGAACTCAGTTTTTTCTGCACAAAATGATTGCAGTTTCCTTAATTTTTTCTCATAGAGTTCCCCTAAGCTTCCAATTAGTTTTATATTTCTCTATCCAATGTGGAACCCCAAACCAGATAAAGTGTATGAATATAGGTCTGGTAAAAATCTGACTAATGTTGAATATAACGGGAAAATAACCTTACAAGTCCTAGAGCAGACTGTATGCTGCTATTTCTGAATGGAAAACAGTGAGTTTAATAGAGCTAGATAGATCCTAACTCAAATCTTACCTTTACCAATTTACCAGTTCTGGGTTCACAGGAAAATTACTTAATTTCTCTGAACTTTAAATTTTTATCCTATTTAAAATAATAATCCCATATTCACAGGCCTGCTTTTATGATTAAACTATCTTTTTTTTTTTCTTGAGTTGGAGTCTCACTCCATCGCCCAGGCTGGAGTGCAGTGGCACGCTCACAGTCACCCCAGAGTCAGCCCCTGGGCTCTGGCGATCCTTCTGCCTCAGCCTTTCAAGTAACCGGAAGTACAAGCGCGCGTTACCACGCCTGGCTAATTTTTTAATTTATTGTAGAGTCGAGGTCTTACCCTGCTCCCAGGCTGGTCTCAAACCCCTGGTCTCAGGCAGTCCTCTCACTTCAGCCTCCCAAAGTGCTGGATTATAGGCTTGAGCCACCACGCCCGGCCTTATTAAACTGTCTTATAGTAACTACTCATTAAATGCTAACCTTTCCTGTTTCCTTTTGTATCTTACTTCCCCCTGCCCGGATCATTCTTTTGTCATTTTTTTGTTATCTCCAACATTTTAAGTCCATGCAGAATTGTGATCATTTTTCATACTTTTCTACACTCTCTCAATTCAGAAAATGAAAGAATAGTGCAAATTTACATCTTGGGACATACAGAAGTTTATATTTTTGGACAATTCAAGGAACTTTTAGCAATGGTATAGAACTTTCTAAAAGTGGGTAAAACAATGGAACCATGGGAGGTAGAGGTAGTCCCAATCATATATTTTTATCAGATAAGTATGAGAGATGAAAACTAAAAAGAATCAGAAGGAGAGATGGTTGCGTATCTTCATGTTTTACCAACATGCAAAAGCATTTTAAACCTAAAACTGTCTCATGCAATGACATGCAAAACAAAATGCAGCATAGAATGTAGAAAAGGGAATCAGCAAAGAATGCAGAAGGTTCCAGGCAACCAACTGAAATAAGCTTCAAGTTCATACAAACCTCCAACATTAAATTGCTATGTCTGATATAAATGTTTTCACCATCTAGTCTCTCTCTCTTTTTCTGTGAAAATGAAAGGGGGAAAAACAGAAAAGCATAAAAAATTAAAATGCTGTTCTTGCGGGGAAAAACTGAAAAGTGGCAAACCAAAAAATATTTAAAATTAAATATCTGCAGTGCAGCATATGCCAACATGAAATGGTCAGAGAACCACAAGGACACACAGAGAACACTATTACCACTAGAAAATGATGACCTTGTTCATGAATGATGAGAAAATGTGATGATGTTATTTAAACAGACAGTGCTCCTGGCTTCATTGGCTTCTTATGTAACAAGCTGTTTTATGTTCATTTTTGAAACTGAGCTGTTTGAGAGCTACCTTAAAATATTTGCCTTTAAAAAACGCTGAAACTCCATGTGCTATGGAGTAAAGAGATGCCATAAAAAATTATTTAGCTCTTTGGACATATTTTATACTTAGTAATACTGCAGCATCTAGAGCTCTAATATCTTTTATTAAAAAAGTAAGGGCAGTTTATACATGATCCGCCAATAAATATATTCAGTTAGGAACTGATTTGTCCCACTCTATAGTTGAAAATAAGGCACAGAGCAGTTAGATCCATCATTTTTAACAGTACTAGGAGTTGCTGCTATAATGGTTTTTATTTTATGATAAATATGTAATAAAGTATTGTCAAGATTTCAAAAATATGATGCCATTATGTCATAGTTATCTATAAAGTTTTACTATCAAAGATAAGTTTGACCTTTACTGATCATTTCATTTTGCTTAAAAATATTTTTTCCTACTGGAAACTTACTTTAATAAAACCTTTCATTATATAGTACAGAATTATATTATCTTAGGGTATATAAATGCATATATGCTTATATATTTGTTATTTGAAAGTATCTTCTGATTCAGAGAAATCAATGAAAAGAATGGATCACTGTCTTTTTAATGCATTGTAAGTCAGTATGGGTGAAATGGCAATGTAGCTCTGTGAAGGTGAAACATAGCTAACCTTCCTCATTCTTATCAGATCTTCAGTTTTTTCTGCAACCTTCTGTTTTGCCATAATTAAAAAAAGAAAGAAAAATGATAAAATATTGCTCATTGAAGTTTGTCTGAACCTTCATTTTATAATTTTTGTAAGGAGAAGGGAGTAAGGGAGAAGAAAAAACTAGGGGGGTGAAGGGAAAAGGGAACAAGTGGCCTGTTGGCACAAACCTGTGTTTGGTCACCATTTGAGGTAGGTACTGTGACCTCGATGTGAGTTTTTTCCACCTACATTTAAGAAATAAAGTGGTAAAAACATTTGTGGTTAGTAGGTTTCTATGAATAGTGTTGTTTCCAAATAAGCTGCATCTTGAAGCTGGTTGTAATATCTGCTGAAATCTAATCATCAAGATGCAGCCTTATGGAGGGTGCTATGAGGAAGGGTATTACTCCCAAAAGTCATCTGTTAGTTTACCATCACATTTTCAAGGCTGAAAAGGTAACATGGATCTCCAAATTATCCAAAAAAGAAAATTAAGGCAATTATTAAAGAAAACATTTTTATACTTATTAAAAAGCAGTCACTAAAAATAATAAATTAAGAGTATTTAATGCTATAGCCATGATTTTCATTTTGTCTTTTTTTAATGATCTGAAAGTAATTTAAATAATACTTTAAAACAAATTTATAAATGAAGATATCAATGTATGACATACATGATAGTTAGAAATAAAAAAGGAAGTCTTTAAGTTAAAGCACACATGTAATAAACCACATATAACACCAAACTGGTAAATACAGAGAATTTTGTTAGTTGATCAATGTATTTAGGGAGGTAGTTTCACCCTTCGGTTTATTACACAACAAAACATCAAAATAAACTCAGTCTAAATTATAACTGACACATGCAATTACTTCCAGGGCTGATTTATAAATAAGCAGGACTCAGCTGTAACATTCAACTTGCTGCAATCTTCTCTCTAGGAAGTTGGAGCCCATGTGTTTGGTAGAAGGGCAAAATTCATCCCTAACAGTAGAAAAAGAATAGCTAAGATCTCCTGTCTAGCTTTGAATCCCTTTAATAATGTCATTTTATGTACAGAAAATGGAATAATCACTAAAAAAAGTAGGCTATTAAAGGAGACATAATTGAGTGAGCAATGCCTAAATCATTGAATATTTCAAATTAGAAAACTGGTTGTTTTTATTAAGGGTTAAATCAATAACTTTGCATCATTATTTATCTATCTATCTATCTATCTATCTATCTATTTTTTGAGTCGGAGTCTCATTCTGTTGCCTAGACTGGAGTGCAGTGGCCGCTCCCGGCCACCGCAGCCTCGACCTGCTGGGCTCTGGCAATCCTTCCGCCTCAGCCTTCCACGTAGCTGGAACTACAGGCGCGCGCTACCACACCCAGCTAGTTTTTGATTTATTGTGGAGATGAGGTCTCGCCAATTGCCCAGGAGGGTCTCGAACCCACGGGCTCAGACAATTCACTCATCTCAGCCTCCCAAAGCGCGGGATTACAGGCTGAGCTACCGAGCCCGGCTTATTCATTTATTTATTTATTTGAGTTGGAGTCTCACTCTGTCACCCAGACTGGAATGCAGTGTCCGCTCCCGGCCACCGCAGCCTCGACCTGCTTGGCTCCGGCGATCCTTCCGCCTCAGCCTTCGAAGTAGCTGGAATTACAGGCGTGCGCTACCACGCCTGGCTGATTTTTTGATTTATTGTAGAGATGAGGTCTCGCTGCTCAGGCGGGTCTCAAACCCACGGGCTTAGGCAATCCACTCCCCTCAGCATCCCAAAGGCGCGGGATTACAGGCTGAGCCACCGAGCTGGCCATCATTAATTATTTACAGAACCTCATCAATCTGTGGTTTTGACATTCTTTTTAATCACACTAAGCAGTACTATTACTTTGGAGTACAATGTTATTGTGATATCTCCTCTAGACTGAATCTAAAAAAATAAAGTAACACTTGTGACACTTAGAAATCATAAGCACATTCAGCTTCCACACTTTTAACTACCTGAGATAATTTACAATTTGGGTCATTTCTACTCTGAGTCCCAGCATACTTGCTGTGTGGCCATTAACAAGTTATGCTATCTCTCTGAGCTTACATTTCCTTATTGATGAAATGGAGATAATGTCTTCCTAGAATTGTGTACATTTAGCAAATGGTAGTTAAATTATTTTATAAAGCTTAAATTACTGTTTAAATTGATAATTACTTCTGAGTCCTTAGCAACCCAACAGCAAGAAATTGAGAGCCTCTACTTCACTTTAAGAATTGAGGCCAAGTAGCAATAGTAGTTCTGTGTATGCCCCTACAGAGAAGATTAAATGATATAAAGATATACTACCTCCACATCTGCAGAGGATGCCTTGTCAAATGAACTAAGATGACAAAAAGCTATCTCTACATGACACTAAGCTGTGTTAGATAATGAAACTTACACAGTTTTAAGGCTCCTTATAACAGCTGCTTTACATAATTACTTCAGGTAAATGTCACACTTATTTTCTTTCTTTCTTTTAGAAATAAAGACAAGGTCTCACTATGTTGCTCAGGCTGGTCTTGAACTTCTGGGCTCAAGCAATCCTCTCGCCTTGGTCTCTCTCAAGGCGCTAGGATTACAGGCGTGAGCCATCAAGTCTGGCCGCCATACTTACTTTCTAACTGCCATAAATAAAACCGGCTCTTCCCTCTACCAAGGACCCAAGAGCAAAGGGAACCTATTCTAAAATATGTGTGTTTGTCTTATAGCAAAAGGAAAACAAGTTAGGTGAAAGTCAGAGGAATCTTAGCCACTCAGGAAGATTCCTCTGACAATTTCAATAATACAACTCTCTAATTAGTATAACAAATGCAGGGATAGACAAAGGTGCCAGATGAGATATTCTAACTTTAAAAACTGAGGAGACAGTCTAACATTCAAAAGGCATTATTGATACCAAACCTGATAACCAATGTCATGAACATTTGGTTAGGTACAAAACTGCAAACACCACCCACCATTCACTCAATTAATTTTTTTCTCTGGACTCAAGGCAGTCCCAAAAGGACAATAAAACTGATATGTCATATTTAACAGTTTTTTTGAAAAATATAATTAAAACAGAGTTAGCTTGTCCATTGCTCTATAGATAAACTAGATACTGATCTGGCTCCAAAAGAACAGGATTAAGTCATCTGCAAAGTGAAAGCACTTACTAAGATTATACACCGTTTTAAATTTAACAGACATTCCCTACCCTGCCATCATTAAACTCTTTCTCCTCTTCAAAAACAAAAAAGTAATTCTTCTTGTGACGACTGCTTCTCATAACTCTTGTTGGCAACAGTAAGACCTATATTTACTTGAATAAACTGACCCTTGCACCTCAATTCCATTACTGCTTATATGTGTATAAAAAGCTTACCAACATATAAAAGATCAGTCCAGTTACTGTTACTTCTGGGAAATATGCTAATTAAATTGGTGATTTTTCAACATGGTGCAGTGATTGTGGGTATAACCAACTCAGAACTGTCAGCAACTCAGCAGTATAATCTCTTTGACATAATGAATCTTCCCTTTTTGAAAAGATATAAAAGAACTGAACAACCACATAGATGTGCTTTACGTAATACCTGTTCTTTGGAAATGTATATACATCTATATTAGAAAATAAAATTATATTTTAATCACAATAGCAGAGTTTACTTTTAAAAAGTAATGTGGAGATTCCTTCTGGAAGAGTAAAAATTATTTTAAGAAGCAAATGATCAACCATACTGGCGTGTTTTATAAGTCTATCTTTTAAAATACTATGTTGCGTCAAGTTGTGGGTCACCTGAAAACTCCTGGGATACTTTACAGTCTTATTGACATAGCTATAAATATATTTTACAGATTTATGGGTGATGTCTTTAGTCAGATAGAATGATGAATAACTTTATTAGAATTCCTACAAAAATAATCAATTGTTTTGAAAACCTTCCTGATCAAGGATTTAAGGCCTCTAAATCAATGAGTGAATTAGCAGGAGACTTGGGCTTATACCATACCTTCCATGCTTCTGTGGGCTCTGGCACAGCCTGCTCAGGTGGCTCTTCTTCCTTTTTCACTTCGACCTTCACTGTTTCCTTCTGTGCTTTAGGGACCACTGTTTTTTTAACAGATGTACCCGGGACACTACCTTCTGTGACCTGACTCTGAGCAATGGCAGGTGCAGAGGTGGGCCGAGGACTTCTGTCTGCTGAATCAACAGCTGCTGCTATGTGAGAAAGGGAAAAGGCAAGAGTAAGTAAAGGCAAGAGCCACGATACTACTTTAAAGTCACCAGGAAAAATAATTTTGAATCCAGGACACACATAAATGTTTCAGTGTCTAGTGGGCTGTCATATAGAGGGTAAAAAAATAAATTGTTAGTGCTCTTCCAGGTAACTGACAGTAACAAAAAAGTTAAATGTACCCTCAATAGAAATACTAAAATGTGTTAACAATAATGTTCCATAAATGCTAAATTCAGAGGAGACAAGATCAAAGTAAGAAAAGAAATTGAAAACCTGTTTATCTGGCCGGGTGTGGTGGCTCATACTATAATCCCAGTATTTGGGAGGCCGAGGTGAGAGGATTACCTGAGTTCATGGGCTTGAGACCAGCCTGGGCAACTTGGCGAGACCTCATCTCTACAATAAATCAAAAAATTAGCCAGGTGCGGTGGCGTGTGCCTGTAGTTCCAGTTATTTGGAAGGCTGAGGTGGAAGGATCACCTGAGTCCAGCAGGTCGAGGCTGCGGTGGCCAAGAATGTGCCACTGCACTCCAGCCTGGGTGACAGAGTAAGACACCAACTCCAAAACAAAAAAAAAGAAGAAGAAGAAGATGAAAGAAAACCTGTTTATCTTGTAATATGTTAGTTTCAAGAACATGCAATGTAGTCTATGAAGAAAAAAATGGGTTAATTAAGTCTGATTTCTTCCATGAAGTCTTTTTGAAATAAAGATCTGTTTATTTTTTAGTAATTTCATATAATTTCATAACATATTCTAGGAAAAAAATAAGTCTGATTTCCTCTGCAAAACTTCTTGATATGATTACAAATTAACTTGATAATTAACTGTTAAAAATCTTCTGATAAGACATGAACTACTGTTTGATGCTTGTAAGGGCAAATCTTTGAACCAGATACTTTCTCTTTAATAATTAATCATTTGTTTAAAATAATATGAAATTCAAAGTTTTTGGCCTTCAATCCTAAAAACAAAAACATCTTTTGAGTTCTGTCCTACACTCTCCCAGAGTCTTACCAATTTATTATTATAGCTCTTATTCTCTATATTTAGGGCAGTGGTTCTCGGCTGGATTGATTTTGCCCCCCAGAGAACATTTGGTAATATCTGGATACACTTTTTGATATAACTGAAAGGGAAGAGAAAGGAGGTACTGGCATCTAGTGCATAGACGCTGAGGTTACAGAGGCTGAGAAACTTTGATGTAGAGGAAAAGTATAGAATAAACAACACTGGTTTGTGATAAAAACTTGATATTTTCACAGAATTCATTGTTGTGTTGAATTATTTATCTAAGTTTTGATGGCTTACTTCAAAACAATCATTTACAATCTTTTCTATCTTCATTCTTTCAGGAATTAAAAGAATCACTTGTATGCTTTGTAGTAAAACCTCATTTATCTGACAGTGTCTGAGAATGAAGGTGTTTTTCTACATGATTAAGTATTTCTGATAACAGACCATTATCCATTCTTGTACTGAGACTTTTAACTTTTAATGATTTTGGCTGGGCACAGTGGCTCACACCTGTAATCCCAGCACTTTGGGAGGCCAAGGCAAGAGGATTTCCTGAGCTCAGAGACCAGCCTGAGCAACATGACAAGACCTCATCCCTACATTAAAAAATATATATATATATCAGCCGGGCATGGTAGCACATGTCTATGGTTCCAGCTACTTGGAAGGCTGAGGTGGAAGGATCACCTGATCCCAGCAGGTTAAGGCTGAGGTGACCATGAGGGTGCTACTGTACTCCAGCCTGGGCTACAGAGAGAGACTCCTACTCAAAAGACAAAATAAAATAAATTTTAATTATTTTGTATAGAAATCTTTACAGTTTTTTGATTTTTTTCTTGAGTCAGGGTCTTACTCTGTTGTGCAGGTTGGAATTTGGAGTGGTGTGAACACAGCTTACCACAGCCTCAAACTCCTGGGCTCAAGTGATCATCTAGCCTCAGGCTCTTGAGTGGCTGGGACTACAGGCATGTGCCACCATGTCAACTAATTTTTTAAATTTTATAGAGATGAGGTCTTGCTATGTTGCCCAGACTAGTCTTGAACGCATGGGTTCAAGCAATCCTACTGTCTTGGCCTCCCAAAAGTGCTGGGATTATAGGCATGAGCCACTACACTTGGTCTACAGTTTTTTGTTTTTGTTTTTTGACTTGGGGTCTCATTGTGTCACCCAGGCTGGAGTGCAGTGGCACAATCATGGTTCACTGCAGCTGGGACTACATGCATGTGCCACCACACCCAGCTAGTTTTGCTGTTGTTGTTTTGTAGAGACAAGGTCCTGCTATGCTGCCCAAGCTGGTCTCAAATCCTGGGCTCAAGCAATTCTCCTGCCTTGGTCTCCCAAAGTGCTAGGATTACAGGTGTGAGCCACTGTGCCTGGTCCTGGCACACAATTTTTAATTTTACACTCTCCTGGCTTCTTAAACTGACTATACTGAACATGGTTCACCCTGAAAATTTTAGATTTTCAAACTGTAAGGATTAAGCAAAACAAAGGAATTCCATGAATAGGAACAGATTTTGAAAATTGAAATCACAAATACTTCATACACACAATATGAAGAAAGAAATGCTCGTTACCCTGTAATGTTGTCCAGTAGAAGAAATAATTCCCTGGCGGATACATAGGAAAAACAGCAGAAACAGAAGAATCTACTTCATCTTTTAATGAAAAATCTGTGTCCTCTTGCAAGTCCCTACTACTCATGGGTGTACTAGGCAGTCAGTGCAAGAATGGCAGATGGCAGACCAAACCTAACAACACAGGGGAATGTGACAAAATATTTTGCTCACAGTTGTGTTAAAGTATCATTATACATGTGTATTCACACCTCCTCTCAAAGAATTAATTCAACTCTGCTTGGCGTCATAGAAACATAGCCTATGCTTTCACCATGTGTTATTTTGCCATTTGCCTTTGGTTTTAATCCAATACTAATATTGTAGAGCCAAATGATTTATGTCTTCAGCATTCCTAGCTGTGGCAATCTGTACTGTATGTGGAAAAGTAGGTATAAGTGTGGAAACTGACAGAAACAAAGTTCAGGGATTGGAAAAATAATAACACTACAACAAAATGCTCTGACTGTCAAAGGCAGCGTGGAACAGAGGCAACAGCTAAGCCATGAGTCTGAGGCCCACTCTCACTTTAGTCATTCACAGTAGTGTGATCTAGGGTATGGAGCTTAATCTTACAAACTTTAGTTTCATCATTTATAAAATGCAAAAGATAATAGCCCTATAGGATAGTTGGGAAAGGGATACTCAATGGATATGAAAACACCTTATGAACCCTAAATATTCATAACTTTTAATATTATATCTAAGCCCTTGTATTTCTTTTGTGGAGTTAATATTCTTTAAAGATAATACTGGGTAAAATTAATTATGCACATATTGATATGCAATTCAAATGAAAGTTATCACTTGGGAGCTCTGGAGAGAGACAAATTTATTTTATTTTCTCAATGAGGAGACTATAAACTATGGATCACAATAGAATATCATGGTACTGATCTTTTTTTTTTTTTTTTTGAGTTGGAGTCTCACTCTGTCGCCTAGACTGGAGTGCAGTGGCACTACAGCCTCACCCTGCTGGGCTCCAGCAATCCTTCTGCCTCAGCCTTCCAAGTAGCCAGAACTACAGGTGCGCGACCATGCCCGGCTAATTTTTGATTTATTGTAGAGATGAGGTCTCGCCAAGTTGCCCAGGTGGGTCTTGAACCTGCGGGCTCGTGCAACCCACTCACCTCAGTCTCCCAAAGCACGGGATTATAGGCTGAGCCACCAGGTCCGGCTAAGGATAAATCTAATGAAAGATGCACAAGTTTCTACACCAAAAGACACAAACATTATTGAGAGAAATTAAAGAAGACTCAAATAAAATGAGGGATATAGCATGTTCGTGGATTGGAAAACTCAATATTATAATAACATAAATTATCTCCCAACTGATCTATATAGTCAACTCAATCCCAATGAAACTATTTAGAACTTTTTCGTGGAAATTGAAAATCTGGTATTCAAAAATATAAAAGAAAATGCCAAAGGCCACAAATAGCCAAGATAATCTTTTTTTTTTTTTTTTTTTTTTTTTGAGTTAGAGTCTCACTCCGTCACCCAAGCTGGAGTGCAGTGGCATGCTCACGGCCACCCCAGCATCGACCGCTGGATTCGTGCGATCCTTCCACCTCAGCATTCCAAGTAGCCAGAAGTACAGGTGTGTACTACCATGCCCACGGCCAGTTAATTTTTTATTTATTGTAGAGACAAGGTCTCACCAAATTGCTCAGACTGGTCTTGCACCCACGGGCTCAGGCAATCCACTCACCTCGGCCTCCCAAAGAGCTGGGATTACAGGCTAAGCCACCCAAGCCTGGCCCAAGATAATCTTAAAGAATATAGTTGAAAAACTTATACTATCAGATAAACACTTATTATAAAACTATAATAATTAAGATAGTATGGTTTTGGCATAAGGCTAGACAGATAAATCAATACAACAGATTAAAGAGACCAAGAATAAACTCCCATATTTATAGTCACTTGATTTATAACAAAGGTGACACTGGAATGCAGCGGGGAAAGAATGATATTTTCAATATAGAGTGCAGAGTCAACTGAACATACATATAAAAAAATTAATTCTGACCTCTACCTCATTTCACACATAGAAATAAATTCCAGATCAACTGTTGATCTAAATAAGCATAAAAGGTAAACAATAAGAGTTCTGAAGAAAACATTAAAGAATATCTTCATGAACATGGGCAAAGATTTCTTTAAATAGGACCCCAAAATTCCTCATGACGAAGGAAAAAATTGATAAACTAACTATGTTAAAATTTAGAACTTTTGGTCAGCCTAAGATGCCATTAAGAGAATGAAATAGCAGGCCACTGTGGGAAAATATATTTGCAATATGAATAGCTGACAAAAGATTCATATCTAGGAGAAATTTAAAACTCC